CCTTCAAATTTCTCCATTTGTGACCAGTCATCCTTAAATGAATGCTGCCACAGTGACAGCAGTAGTGGAAAATGAGAGTATATGAATATTTCTAAATCCAGGACAACACAGCAATTTTTTGTTCCTAACACTGCATTTCATGGTTTTCAAGTAATGTTTTTCTAACAGATGGTTCTTTGAGCCATAACTTCTTTGAAAGACAATTTGGGACACTTGCATCAACACAGCATGTTATCCAAATTTGTTCCCATTTGGAAACTTTTAGCTTTGTTGCACATAATTATTACTGGATGGAGAACTGCCAGCATTTGTATTTTTCAGTGAAAATCTTGTAGTATTTACTGTTTCTCCTAAATAAAAGCTGTTTCTTGGAACTAAGTGAGAAAACTCATGTTTTCAAATGAATTTCAGGCATTCACACCTGTGTAAAAGTGCTAAATGATCAAATTAGATGAAAAATATGAATAAATATCATATTTTTATGGCATAACATTATTTTTCTGTGCTAGCTGGTAGCTATTGTACAACTGGTGGTTCATCATGAGTGTGTAGAATGACTGAGGCAAACCCAAGTCTGAGAAAAAAGGACAACCTGCAAGTAAAAAGCTTCAAAGCTTCGTGGCATCCTGAGAAAGGCACCCATAACCACAGATGCCAGAAGCTGGTGAATGTTATTTACTAAGAAGCTGTGCAAAAGTTGTTGGCTTTGGTCCTCAGTGACATAGGGGTAAGAAAAGGTTTAATGTTCCAGAGGACGTGGCCTTTGTTTTGTACGTCTGGAAAGCTGTGAGTATTCGGTTTGGAAAAGGACCCCCTGGCAGCTCTCAAAGTTCTTCTGCGTAACATTGTTTTTCCCAAGAAACTGTCATCTCACCTCAGAGAGATGAGCATCCTTTCAGAATAAAGGATGACTTAACCCCCCAGCACGCTGGCAAAAAGTAGAAAAAAGGGACTAATGTGGGAGACAACTGCAAATGAAATGAAGTCACGGTTCTCTTTTGAGCATTGAGTCAACTGTAAATGAGCCAAAACAAGAAACACACAACTGGAAATCAGATCCCAACTCCAACAACAATTCAAGACTTCAGCCTATTGCAGAGGACAATACACTGTGGGCCATTCTCCTTCACCAGAGAAATGAGCACATTCTCCTTCCAGCGGAAATCCCCACAGCATGCCATTAAAAATGCACAGGTTTGGAGAATATTGCCAAGCCAAGACTGCTTTCTAAGGTATAATGCTTAAAGGGTTTTTGTTTAAAAAGTTTTTCAAGCTCTTGTGGTTTTATTTGTGGCCTTGGACCTGTAAAGGGTAGTAGGTAGGGAGAGTATCATTGCAGACAGATAACTCCCCAGTTCCCAGCTGCAAGTCACTCTGCGTCCCCTTGGATTCACCCTTCGGCTCTGCGCAGTTTCTCAGCTCCAGGCTTTTGGTGAAGCAGAACTCAATCTGGCCAATTGTTTGTGCTTCTTCACCCTGGAGACAGGAAGAATGAGATCAGCTTGTCGTGGAGAAGAAAATGGACTAATATTTCAGATATATTTGCCATAGTTACATTACACAGTAGTGCTCAGTTGTAGCTTTGCCACTTAAAAAAAATGTGAGGGAGAGACAGATAACAGAGGTAACACCCTGAACAGCTTGTAGCAAACAGCCCTCTTTAAGGAGCAAGCACACAAGGAAACACATTTCACCGTCACGACTCAGGAACGTCTGGGGAGATCAGACTACTAAGTCTCACTATGAAATGCTGCGACACAGATTATCAAGTCATCTTAATGATGCGCTCTGGCTGAACGATGGGAATGTTAAAGGGAAAGTCTGATATGGAAGGTCTCCTTTCATCAACACTGCCATTACAGGATGGGAATTAAGGCAAAGAAAATTTTTCAAAAAGGAGAAAGGAGAAGCTTTACAAAAGGTTTTACTGAGAGGAACACAAAGCAGTCTGCGAAAAATAGCAGAGATGTCATTTTTGAACTGCAGGACAGATAGGGAGGAAAGATACTGGCCACAAAAAGAAGAAAGAAGGCCTGGAAGCCAAGTGCAGCAAAGGAGATTATGAGGAAAGCCTAAAGAATGGACAAGTATGATGAAGTGCACGTGAAAAAACACTGGTTTAGAAACTGCTAAGCAGGACAAAAAATTTTGTACAAAAGAAAAAGAGTGTGTCGTGTCTATTTGTTAATTTTTAAGAAACCTAAGAACACAGCAAATCTGTAACATACTTTAGGCATCAGAGCTCCCTGACAAGGAAGTCTGCCACCTCAGGCAACTACAAGGCTGGATTGCTGAAAAGGGCCATCTTTACTTAACCGGAGTATCCTTTTTCCTCTCCATCAACCATTAGTTTCAGCTATTAAGCACAGGAGACTCAAACTGTTAAATGTCTTTCACCTAATTTGAACTATACCCCTGATTACACTAAAAGCAAACGGTGGAACTACAATGAATATAATCAGAACTAAAATCTGGGCTTTGTGTTAGCTTTGTATTTCTTCAACATCTAGAGGTGGGTGAGTTTGCAACTGACATTCAGCCCTTATTCTTTTGGTGCTTAACTAATTTAAATATACATTTTGAATCAGTTTTAACTTGTAATTCTTCTTCATGGAAAGCAACATCTGAGCATGAAAGGCTCACAGCATTGCTAAAGCAAATGAACTAACAACACAAGAGCTATTAAACACCAACAGCAACTGTATCTTGGCAAATTGTCATAAAACTGACGTCTGTGTATTTGCAATAAATGTGTTTCACAGTAAACCACTCTATCAAATTCAAGGCCCTCTGTAAGAGGAAGAACTCTCTTGTCTCTCTCCTTTCCTCTGCCTTCCTTCTCTTTTAAAAAGGACAGGAAAGCGAGTAACACTTGTAACATCTGGAATCTTGTTTTGCTCCTTCAGAGGCACTTTGGCCTCAGGTGTGTGCCTGTATTCTTGACAGTGGCACACTGTCTCTGGGCACCATGTTTTCCAGTGCACTGTGGCTCTCAGCCCAGCCATTGCCAAGGAAAGGTAAAGGGAGATGGAAATTTTAGACAACATTCCTGTACAGAAAAGACTATGGCCATCTTGAGCTACACTGAGGCTCAACCTGCTTTTTTATATAGGTAGGGCCTTTTTGAAAGCAACCTGAGACAAGCTTCTGAATTGCTGTATTTCTGAGGGAGTCTGTTCAATCAGTCACATCTTCCTGCAAAACACCTGAGCCATGCCCAGCGAGGGAAGGACAAGCACCGCTTTCACGGGTAGTATGTTCGCCAAGGCCTGCAGTCACAGGCTCCTTTCTGATCACAGCCGTTAACCCTCGTAATTTCCTTTATGGGGACTAAGGTTTAGCAGGAGGAGCAGAGAGGACTCAAGTGCAGCTTCACCTCTAGCCTAATGGTTACAGCATTCACCCATAAGCTGCAAAACAGATGCAGGTTCCAGTTCTTTGAGATGAAGGCGGCTTTCAAACCCAATGCTCCCATTTTCTGGTCAAGTATACTAGCAAAAAGGTTCACCATGGTATACCAAGGGTGAAGAGAGGGCATTTCCTTCATGAGCTGTATTTATGCAGCAACAAAAGGCTCCATCAATAGTAACCTAAGCTGAACTCAGTGATGCCACTGTGTAGGCAACATTTTTATGACTTAACTCTAAGAATTCAGCAATATCTAATTTGCAAAGGGCTACAACATAGCAGGGCCTAAACTTCCATATCCTGAATGTCTTTTTTTTTCTTTTGGTCTTTGACAAACAAGGTTAATTTTAAGAAAAGGGTTTTTGTTTGTTTGTTATTGTGTGGGTTTTTGGTTTTGTTTTTGTTTTTTTTTACCTCTTCTGGAGGAAGACATTGGATCTTTGGGGTTACACCATAAACTCGTGTGAGATCTTCTTTTATGGTAGTCATCTGGAAAAAATAGAGAGCTCAGATAAATGAAGAACTCACTAGCAGTAACTTCTTCCAGCAGTTCTCACATTTGTAAGTTAACAAAAGCTCATAGGTAAAGCATAACTCTAAAGAACTATACAGTTAAAAGATACTACTTCCTCTTTAGCAAACACTTCTGCTGAGAAAAGAACACTCAAATCATTTTATAAAAGACTCTTACCTTGTAATACGTACTGCCCGGCTTTATCCCAGCTTTCAGGAGAGAACTGAAACAAAGACAAAATACTTTCCGTGACTCCTGAATGCCAATATAACTTCGTAACCACAAGGAAAACGGAGAGACTTGAGGAGAACTTGGCAAGCACTACCACGAGGGAGAGCAAGGGAAGCTGTTTCCCACCCTCTCCCTTTTCCAGGAGGCCTCTTCACCACCCTGCCTGGCAGGGTGGCCCAGAGGTGACCCTACCTGTCCAGAAGAGCTAGAAGGAGCAAGTCTTAGGTGTAACTAGGGAGAGGAGAATACTGCTTTCACTTGTCGGCTCTTCCTAATGCTCTGTTGAGTGCCAGCTGGGGATACAGTTTAATCACTTCCTATTGCCCTGGGGCATTCCCTCGTGCTCTGGCCCTGGGGAAGGGATCAAGGAAGAGCCACGAGGTGCTCTGCGAGGTGCTCTGTGCATCCTCGTGCGCAGCCTCAGGGGAGGCTCGCTGGGTCGGGAGGCTCCCGGCGTGTGGGAAGAGGCCCGTGGCCTGCAGGCCTCCATCAGCGCCCTGGCAGGGACGTTTCCATGTAAGCAGGTTTTTGAAGAGAAATGTTGCTCACCTAAGGGAAGCAAAGTAACTCTCCAAAATCTGTAGCCTACCTTCCCACTTCTCTAGACGTGCACCTTGCACAAGGTTTAATATGCCAGCAAGACTTGGGACCCAACAGGTGCTGAGCCCAGCTTCTTCAGTAAGAACTGGGAATGTTCAGCACCTCTCAGGATTTAACCCCGTGAATGCTAACAAAGTTCAGTCCTTCCAAAGGCAGGTCCTGAACAGCAGAGATTTAATGCAATTGACTAGAGCTCTGTGTGTTTGGCATCGTCATTTGTCACTGCACACAAGCAGGCCAGTAAATAAGACAGTGTTCTGTCATTCTTACGACACCTGCTCGATATCTTCTATTTAATAAATTATTTTTGGAGGCAATCTTTTAATCACCATAGCACTACCTTTTCTCATTAAAAGATATAAATGAAGTACAATGAGAACATGAGAAGCCTTTACTCTGTTCACTGAAGATTAGATTAATATGTTCATTTTTACAACAAAAAAGCGCTACAAACAATTAACTTCAAAATGTTTCCAGTCTCTATCATTTTTCAGTGTTGCATATGCTGATTAAAGGAGTCACATAGCTGGTCACTGCACCATCTGTAAAATGTTTTAGTCACACCATCACATACGCAAATGACTTACCAGACATTACTAATTTTAATAGTACATATGACTCTTAAGCACCGTGCCTAGAAAAATCTGATTAAGATGCTACAAAAACATGGTGGGGGATGGAATAAAGACATATTTCCTTGCCACACACGAAAAATGAATAAGATTTTGGTAAGACATTCCTTGAAAAAGTGATAAAAAATGAGCTGGATTTTTTAAACATACACAGTTCTAGATAAATATGGAAAAACCACCTCAGTATGACTCAGAAGTTTATGAGTGTTGTCACTTAATTTTGAAGTGTACAGGTATCGCAGGTTTTTGTTAAATAGATATATCTGACAAGGACCTTTAAAATTCATTGGCACAGTGCCTCAAAAGACACTGTGAAGTATGTTGCTGGCTCCCCAGGCTCCAAAGTAGCCAGAGATGTGATCATCAGCCCCAGGCAGCCCTGTCTGTGAACTTTGGTATTAAAAATCATTTATGCTAGTGCTCGTTCTCCTCTGCTGTCAGCTATTTAGACTTTTTTTTCTTATTAGGTAGGAAACATTTAGAAGCCGTTTGAAATAGGAGGCAGACCAAGCAGTTCACTTACGTACCTGTTAAGATCCACCTGCTTATAGAGTTCCAGAGCTTTACCAAAATACTTCTTCTGAGAATTAAGGATCTGCAGTGTGGCTGCACAAGTTCCATGCTTATCCCACTCGTGTTTCCTGTAGATGGAAAGCAAATTTCACGTTTTAGAAAACACCATTTGCAGAGATAGAACATGTGCAAGCTAGCCAATATGCTTCAGTGAAGTAACTGAAAGAACATAAAAAATACTGCACGTGCAAAAAGCAAAACCAAGAAAAACCCACTCCTACCATTTCAGTCATTTCAATACATTTATTTTTTTCTAGTAGAGTTATTTTCCAAAAGATTTTAGACCTAGAAGGAGAGTTGGGAAGAAGCCTAAGTCATTCATCCTCATGATTTACAGCATCAGACTACAAGAATTCTTTCCAGAAAATACAAGTTGATCTTAAGTTTGACGGTTTCATGAAAGAGACTTTTCAAATTACTGTAAGAATGGTGGAAGAGAAAGGGAAGGATAGTCCAATGGCTAGGAAATTATTAGGGGCCAGGAACATCCAGAATCAATAAGTTGTGCAAAAAGCCACATATTTATTGCGCAGGTGGATAACTTTCTTCCCTCTCTCTAACATATCTTAAAAAGATAGCTGAATTCTCAAGGCTGAAGACTGCAAGGTGAGGAGATAATGATGATTATGATTATTAAGATAATAATGATTATTAAGATAATAATAATTATTTCAGTCTTAAGATGACTAAGAGATCTCTACGACATAAGAGCATGACAAAACTTTATCAAGCCAACAGGATTGTTCTGGTGTTTCTTTCACACTAGCTTAGTCCAAAATATATCACTTTTTTGAGCTGTCTCCTTTTGAAGACTCTTAATAGCTAAATTAAGGAATTTATGAAATAAATATGTATCACATTCATGCATATGATACAAAGTTCTCTTCTTGTATTCCTAAGTGATGTTTGGAGGTCAGAAGAGCAAGAATTTGCCCCCAAAGCGCATATTTCTCATCTTGTATAATTTCTAGTGGAACTTTAAAGCGAATTTCGAAGCACTGAAATTTTTTCACAAGTGAAAAATCTTATTTTGGGTGGATCAATGTAAATGCACAAGCTTCTTACACAGGACTGTTGCCTCAAGTTTCACTTTGTCCCCTTGCTGGATCTAGACATGTCTAGTGCAATCTTGCCTCTATTGCACTACCAACTGTCCTAATGCCAAGGAACAGACTGCAAAAGAAAACAATTCTTGCAATATTATGATATAATCTCATATATAACAGAAAAAAAAATGTGGCAAAGCTCCAAAGATATTCCTATGAATTCTAAGTCTAGTGAAAGACTAAGCAGTATAAGCTATAATACGAACATCTGTTGTTTTGTTTCATGTTTTTTTCCTTCAGATTTTCATGAGTCACTGGTGTTAAACAGGTGTCAGTTCAGCAGACACGCACAAAAAGTTATCATCTAATCACAGATGCCTGCTTCTACCAGCGCATTCCCTGATGTGATGATGCCTTGATACTTAATGAGGAAGCAAAGAAGCAGAAGGTCCATTATTTTTCACCTGAAAGCGTGCCTTTGAGTTCTTCATTCCTAACAAAAACTAAAGATTCTTCTTAAGAAATTAAAGCACTTTAAAGACGTTATCCTTGGAACTAGAGAAATTGGAACACTACCTTTGAACAGAAAATGAAAAAAGAAACTGTATGTCCAAGAGATTTGACAAAGGGGAGAGGATGGGTTACTGAAAGATTTTCACTATGTGTTCACAAATTCAGCCTTAAAGTAGACATAAAACAGTTCTGATTGCAATAGGTACCTCATGGTCCTTTTAGCTTTTTGTTGCAGAGAACTAGCAAAACTATGCAGCAAGTTTTAACTGGAGCATGTCTGGTTTAAATGGAAGCATATATGTCCAGTGAATTGTCAGCTGCCTGAAAAACTCCACTTAAGGTTGGCCAAACAGCAGATTTTCTGAAAAGGTACTTGAAATGAGAAATGAGAAAAGAGACTACAATTTTACAGAAGATGGAAGCTCTTTTGGAGGCAAATCTGGCAAGAGATATGGGACAGTTAGTTTGGACCATAAGCAGACAACAGTCAAATCCAAAAGGCAACTAGAACAGCAAGAAGCTGGAAGAAAAGACTTGCATGCAGGATGCCAATATTTTTCAAAGATTATATTCACATAGATGTGCAATAGGATAAAATGTGGTGTCCCTCTTTTCTAGGTTTTCCACAGTACTTTTTTTTTTTTTCTGCTGTTTCTAGGAGGAAGGTGGACACGGAAGGCCGCGGATCTGACTATGCTCTGGGCGCATGTTACTGCTGACAGGCAACTGCTACTAGTCAGCTAGGCCTGACTGCCCCAGGCAATGGGACTGTGGGGTTCCCAAAAGGAAAAAAAAAAAAAACACAGGGATACCCAGAGACAGTGCCACTGCTTCACCAGTTGTGGAAAGCCATGAGCAGACACTGATCAGGTTTTCAAATCAGCACTGTGAGCTTCCATAGAAAAAGAGCTAATTTGGAGTCAGTTTAAAACAATTACAGCAACTGCAAGATGATGTTTCCTTTGACTGTGTGATTTGTTTTTTGCAGCAGAGCCACATGAAGAAACAGAGCAGTGAATATGCACCCAATTCCGACAATTAAGCACACGCATATGAAATTTCACCTTTACCTCTTCCACTGCAGCAAACTGAAGTGGTTAGGAAATGGAGGAGCTGCAGCTCTCAGGGAAGAAAAAGAATTTGTGTTCAGAAATCAAAAGAATTAATGCCTCAGTGTTCTTCACCGAGTCCTTCATGTGGGCCAGAATAAGACAAGGTCATTCCGCTGAAGCCACAGCTCATACCGGTGTGCAATGTGGATAGAGAACACAGCTTACTGTGTGTAGAAGGAGCACCAGCCCTTCTGTACTGCTCATATTCATGAGCAAGGCACTGGTGCTGAACACACACAGCAGTCAAGAATTTTGCTGCTCATTTCGCTCCATGTAGGACACAAGTACATGGGCAGGCATGCAGGAGTGGGGCTTACCACATTCGATTGGGGTCTACTGTGTAGTTTGTCTAGCTCCATCATAGCTTCTCTCTAGAGTGTTGTTAAGAATAAATGCTACGCTTGCACTGCGCAAGGCTGACTTCTACAAATGAACTATTAAGGGGCTGAAAAAAAAAAAGGCAAAGGAATGAAACTGGTACAGTTCAGCTCTGGAAATGAAGCTGAAACTCAAAGATACTTCGCTTCCTGATGTGTGCAGCAAGGACGGAGTTTCCCCAAGCAATCAGTCATGCAGATGTGGCAGACAGAAGCTCATCAGGTGGATCTGAGGAATCCAGAAACCACCCAGCTTGAAAACTGCCTTATACTCTTAACTGCCTTAAGAGTTTTCATTTACAGAAATTTCAGTTAGGATTGCCAATTACAGTGAACTTTTTTCACCTCACTGAAAGGAATGCAGTCAATCAAAGTACTAGCTACAGTGTTATAATCTGGTTTGTATTGCTTTTATACTAATATTTCCAGGTGTTGAAATAAATGCTACTAGGTATCCTTGAAGTGAAAGGAAAAAGAGCTTGACTAGATTTGCTCACACCTGCTGCCAATCAAAATACATCCATTAGTAAAATAAGGACGGCTCTGCACCCATTTCAGCTGAAATCACTTATTTTCATGAACAGGTGGTCACAGCATGGGCTGCACTAGTTCCAGGAGACATTTTTCTTCTCATCCAGAAACAATTTAAACTGGAGCAAACTGAGAGAGGCAGTTGAGCTCTCCCTGGCACACAGGGATGACCCAGCACAAAAGCAAATGGGTGGATGGAGAAGCCTGCACAAGTGCCCTTAACAGGATTACAGATTTAGGCTGCCATAAGGCACTTGTCGAACTAGTTTAAGACTGAGGACCAGGACAACTTGTAGAGTGAAGACAAAACTAACAGACAGCCATTCCTTTCAAGGCTTTTCCCAGTGATATAGGGAGGAAATAGTCATCCAAAGGAAAGCTCCCCAGGCACAGAATTCACTGAATAGCTGGGATAGTTTTAGAAGTTACTGCCCCTAGCTATGTACTCTGCTTATTGCCTGATATCACTGCTTTCACACTAGGTCTGGAAGAACAAATTGCATATCCATACCTTAGCTGATGCCAGCTCACAAAGCAGCATATTAACTTGAACTACCACGTCTTTTAGTTTAAAATGATGCACTTCAACTGAAGATGGTGCAAACCCCACTACCTACTTCTCTTCAGTGCCAGTGTCCCATTACTCAGAAAGGAAGAGTAGCTTGGAGAAGGATGAAAACAGGACTGTAATCAGGAGAGATCAAAATCTCCTCCTTTCCCATGAGCTTGGCAAGCTGATGGCAAGCTAGTCAAGAGCCCACTTGATCTGGGTTTAGACTGCTAGAAAAATAAACAGTAAGAGAAGAAGCCTGCAGAAAAGTAGCCAGGACTGTCTAATCTATCTTATTTTTCCGTTCACTCCTTTGCAAGGAAGCCCAGAAAAAAAGTTTCCAAAGGCCAGCAGCACCATGGAGCTGGCTAGAGAGAGGCCAAAAAGCCGTTTTGCAGCTCTTCTGTGACATCCCAGGAGAGCTTCTGCCATTCAGATTTAAATGTGTCACCAACAGCTGCTTCTTCTCCCTGAGGGCAAAGAAAGCAGATTCTCTCCCTCCCTCCAAGTTCTACTTCTCAAAAAGCTCTGCAACAGCCTCCTCTTTAAGTGCTTTTTGCAAATGTTCTAGAAACAAATCTAGAAAGGTGTTGGGGTTTTTTGTTGTTTGTTTGTTTGTTTGTTTGTTTGTTTGCTTTTAAATAAGACTGAGAAGTCAATAGGAACTGCTTCAGTGGTGTCCAGGACAGTGGCTACTTCTCAGGCTCATGCCCTCTCTGGGTACAGTACACACATCCCACCAGAAAAATTCCCAACTCATATGTACTTTTTGTAAAAAAACATCCAAAATACTGTGGAGTTTTGTTTGAACTCACCAGAACTGCGTGCGATTCTGGGATGAATGAAGCACATCAGGCCAATAGTGTCTCATGTCTGACATAAGATCCTAAAAAATAACAAAAATAAGGAAAAGCACCTGCAGAGCTCAAAAGCTATTTTCTAAAACAGAAGCCTGTCTTTCAGCATCTCTGACAAGCAGTCACTGCCAGAAAAAGGAAAGAAGCCCTTTCCCCACAATATTCTGAAAATGTTGCTGTTGGAGGCAACAGGTAGGTGCAAATACCTAAATAGCTGAAACAATGTATTAAAATATAGATCCTCTGCCTCCTTCAATTGTCTTGCCAATTTGTGCAATCATGGAGCTTTTCACATTTGTAGGCTCAATCTCACATCTATGTTTATAAAACATATGAATAAAATTTAGAATTCTTCATTTTTAATATTACAAGACGACAATGCACTGCAGTTTTCATTCTTCTTCTCTTTCTTATCTGTGCCTACACTTGGAGATATTAGAGAAGATTTTTGTTTCTCTTAGCAGTCCCAGCAGAAGAAAAGGGTTTAAAAGAGCCGATGCTCAGTAACAGCCCTGGGAGAGGCCACATACAAAATGTACTCTGAACTGTGTCCTATTTTATGAGTTCTGGCTTGGAAGCAGAAAATTATTTTTAAAAGAACATGAATTAACTGTAACCTCTTTTTCACAGGCAGTTCTTATCATTGGAGAGTCACAAACTATATCCTCTACTTTTTTTCCAGCAGAAAGTGCCTGAACACATCAAACCACACATCTACAAAATTAAATGCTGATCATCATAGCACTACAGGCTTCAAATAATAACAGAAACACATACTGAATATTTGGAGTCTTTAAAAGAACATAGTTGTCAGTAAACTGCTCGAAGAGCAGACACATTCAGAGATACAGATTTTGCATACAGGATGTGCACTCAGCCCTACGAGGTAAGACTGTTTTCATTTAAATAAATACCTTAATCTCGGTTACATTGAAGTGCCATGTCCTATTACAATCTTCACCTTTGTTAGGCCTAGGAAAGAAAATCAAAAGCGAAAAAAAAAAAAGATTTCTAACAACTCATGGTAGGCGGCAGTGTAACATTAGCCTAAATTTTAAACATGCAAGATTATAACTGGAAATCTGATCTAAAATACAAATGCAAGAAACCTATCTGCATCCACAACGCTTTACGAGTGAAAATTTAAGACATTAATCATGGCCAGAACATTCCCCAGAGAAAAAGGCTGATAGGCCCTCCAATCACTCACATCCTGTGCAACCGACATACAGGGGAGCGGAATGATATGGAACGGTCATGCACATAAGGTCACTATTGAAGCCGACGTCTCCAACCACTGTATCCCATGATGACTCTGTAGGTCACCACTGAAATCTAGGCACGATGCTGCTCACCCTCCCAGGGCACAGGGCCCACCAACCTCCTCTGCTGAGTTTCTCCCCTTATTTGTCATTATAAAAACCTTCAAAATGGTGCTGTTCACATCAGTTCCTGCAAGCTGACTTCTTGGAAGCAAATATATTTTTCCTAGGCCTTTACAATATTTATGCTGAGTTAAGACTCCTAGAGCCACAGGCAGTCATGAGACACTAACAGGGAGAGAGAGAAAGAGGGGAAAACTTTTTTTGTTTGACATCAATGATTTTATGAAAAGATGTGTAAATAAAAAGCTTATGCAGCAGTAGGATTTTAGGAGCTCAGTGAGTCATGAGATATACAGGAATGTATTTCAGTTTTACATCAAAATACAGGTTTTTGATTTCCAGCAAAATGAGGGTTTTTGTTTCAAGCAGTCATAAGATAAAATAGATTGATTGATTGAGTCCTTGACAGAAAAAGCATTAAACATACTAGTACAAAACTTTTTTTTTCCCCCAAGTAGAAATAAAAGCAGTCTATCATCATACCATAGTCCATGGATTGTCCAGTATTTCGGAGGGTCTTGACAGTCATTAGCACTCATCTGTGGAAAAGAATACCGGGTACTTGTTGTGTGTGTTCAGAGGCAATGGCTTAATGAGAAAATAAGAGTTCAAAGTGCTAGGGAAAAATGAGAGCTCTGACTTGCCCCAGAACTGATGAACTCCAAATACCTGAAGCAGTCAGGGACTGCCCCGCTCACTCGAGATCAGCTGGCACAAAATTTTGAAGCACATGAAGTGAATACCAGAAAGCATTTTGAATGAGCAGGGTAAAAATAAAACAAAGGACAGGTTCTGAGTCAATAGAGGGCAGCCTGATCCATGCTAAACGAATGGATTTAAGTATACCTTTATCTTGCAATATTCTGCCTGCCAGTGTTGAATATTTTTCTCAGTATCAGACCTTTCCAAGCAGTCCAGAGCTACCAAAATCAATGTATTTTAATAAGCCAAGAAACTGTAGTATTAGACAAGCACACAACCACCTGCAAAAGTCCAGGAGTATTTTGCTATTGGATTACAAAGAAAAAAATACAGAAGGAAAAAAAAAAAGAGAGATAGGTGCTACCAAACACATCAAATAGTTTGCTTACTCCAAGCAAAATGGTGAGAATGTAATTTTTAAAGTTTTTGGTTTGAGGGAGGAGAGCAGGGAGGGAGCAACACATACACTCCCACCAAAAAAGCCCCCACATAAAACTTTGGATAATGCAGGGAAAAGCAGCCTACACATCAACTGTCTTTTTAGATTACATTACTTATTCACGACTACACGAAAGGAGTTCTCTGCTCACGCATCAGAGAATACCATCACTGTTCCTTCCCTGATTATTCTGCTCAGCAATTATGGTTTTTAAAATCAACGCTTTACCCATTAAATAAGATCCTCCTCAGGCTTTCTTCCCCTGAAACACCAGCTTCCCTTTTCAGCTCTGCACTTCACCTCCCGCCTCGGCTACATCTCCGTGCATTCCAGGCAAGCTCAGGGCAGAGAGGCCCCGCGTGCTGCCACGGCGCAGGCCCCGCGCAGCTCCCGGTGCTCC